TTAAGAGTATTTTTTTTATTATAAATAAACATAAAAAAATGTAAAAACTGATATTAATTGTAGTGTTAAGTAAATTTAATTAGATAATTAATAAATTAAAAATTAATTTTTATTTAAGATAAAAAAAAAAAATACTCCAGAGGAATGAAGCCGTTGCTATCATGGATTGGAGAGGAATTTGGGAGAATCTAGTGAGGTAGGGGAGAAGATGAGGAGTGATAATGTGAGAAAATTTGAAAAGGGTGAAATAATATTTTTAGCTTAAAAATTTTTTAAATTAAGAGTAATAAATTGCTTTTTTTAATCAATTTATTATTTTTCTTAATCAATGTGGACAGACCTAAAGCGTCAAATATTGCGGAAGGGAGGGAGTATTATCATCATCAACACACGGTGGGCGAAAATTCACGCCACTTTGTTAGTTGAATTACTTAAGCTTACGGTCCTTTGACTCCTTTCTAAATCTTCTAAAGTTAATAATTTGCCTTGTGAGATGGGCTTGCGTTCAAATCACTGCATTTTCATTTTGTATTATTAAGGTTAAATCTCTAATTTGGTCACTGAAATATTATATAAATCCTCAATTTAGTCCCTAAACTAAAAATTTTTTTGATTTGATCCATAAACAATTGTACAGACCCCTGATTTGATCTTTACTATTTACCAATTTGCCCCAAATTAGTCCTTCCGTACAAAAAAAACTGAGTGTCTAATATTTAATGGTAAAAAATAGTAACTTAACAGTAGAAAATAGTAACTTAACAGTCACATGTTACGTTAATAACGAAACACATCAGCTGTTTTTGTATAGAATAACCAACTTGAGGTAAATTGGTAAACAATAGGGACTAAATCGAAGACCCATATAATAGTTCAAGGATTAAATTAAAAATTTTTTTAGTTCAAAAACCAAATAAGTTCTATATAATAATTTAGAAACCAAATTAAAGATTTAACCTATTATTAATGGCCAGATAACAACGTCGTTGTCATATCACATAATCAACATTTAAAATCTCGAAGTTCCACCATTTATGGAATCCAGGACTTGAACAACCCTTTTTTCCATACAATCCCTGCCAGTGGTGGCTGATCCAAAAAAAAGAAAAAAATCCCTGCCAGTGGTGTTGCTATAAATATTTTGTAGAGGGAGCAGATGAAATTTTGGAAAAAAAAATGCATCTTTACATTAATTAAAAAGTCAATAAAAAAAATTTTAACAAAAAATTATTTTAAACTAAAATCTGTCAGTCTTTTAATAATAAATTAATATTAATTGATGGTATAGTATTATATATAACATCAATTGAGAGATAAAATAAACATATATTAAATAAAATAACACTAATAAATGAAAAAACAAAAGTAGAAAAGTATTAATAAAAAAAAGGTATTAATAAATAACTATTTTATAAAAAGATGATATTAAACAACTTTGTGTTCAATGAATCTTTATTTTTTATTATATATATATATATATATATTTTTACCTTTATTTTCCTCAATTTTCTCATAATCACTAAAACTAATTAAAAAAAAAAGTTAAAAAAATTAAAATGTATGAAATAAACGAGGATTGAAATAATAAAAATATAACTTAAAGGACCAAAGTTTTATTTCTTAAAAGTTTAGTGGGGCCTGTGCCTCCTCAGGCCCCACCTTATCTCCGCCAGTGAACCCCGTGGTCCTAATACCAAGGTTAAGGTTTCCGTCTCAACTTGGGATCAGCAGTCATGCTGACTCAGGAAATATTTCTTCTTGTAACATGTTATTGTATGAAGATGTAGCAAGTTTTCTGCAGGGACAGACAATAAATCTTTGACTTTGTGGAGGCTGCGGTCTCTTTCAAGTATTCTAAAATCAATTATTTTACAAATGACATTCTGCTTCTGACTCAGTAAGGTGTCATGTTGATTCACGAAATATTTCTTGTTGTAACATGCTATTGTATGAAGATGTAGCAAGTTTTTCGTAGGGACAGATAACAAATCTTTGACTTTGTGGAGGTTATGGTTAACAATCTTTTACTTTGTGGAGGCTATGGTCTCTTTCAAGTGTTCTAAAATCAATTATTTTACAAATAACATTTTGCTTTTGACTCAGTACCGTGAATAGTCATAATCAACCTGTGAATACATAAGAAAAATATCCTACTTCAATTCACACTTACACAGAATTCAACAATCTAGTATTCCATCTTCTAGTCTAAGATTCTTAGCCAGTTGGTAATTTGGCCAAAATATAATTCAAAGTCCTATCTCAAATTCCATGCTGAAAAACGCGTTGGAATGCCTGAATTTTTTCCACAAACTCCTTCCTTTCCTAAAGCTAAAGCTAGGAAAAGTCACAAATTGTTCTACAGGAATAGAACAAACTAGGGACTATATTTACCTGCTGCTACAACCGTGCTTTTTTCACAAAATTTCAAAGTCTAGTTCTCAAATCCTTGTTAAACCATGGCTTTTGCTTCTCCATATTCTCTATGTCCCGTTCTACTTTTCCTGCTGCCAGTTTGTGTTTTAGCTCAAACATCTCAGAATATATCATTGAACTCCACATTAACTGCAGCACTTGATAAAAACAATTCCTGGAAATCTCCATCTGGAGATTTTGCATTTGGATTCCAGCAAATAGAAGCCGGAATGTTCTTGCTAGCCATATGGTTTAACAACATACGTGAAAAAACCATTATTTGGTCAGCCAATGGTGGAAATCTGGTGCAACAAGGCTCCACAATTCAACTTACAAGAGATGCTCAGTTCAGGCTCAATGACAACCAAGGAAAGCCAGTGTGGACAGCTAACTTGGCTGGCTCAGGTATTGTTGATCATGCGGCTATGCTCGACACGGGGAACTTTGTATTGGCAAGCCGGGATGACTCCCCTTTGTGGGAAAGTTTTGGTCAGCCAACTGATACAATACTACCCACACAAATATTAAACAGAGGCAGCAGGCTCGTTGCTCGTTATTCAGAAATGAACTACTCGAGCGGAAGATTTTTGATGCAGTTACCATCAAATGGAAATCTTGTACTTTCTACTGTACATTTCCCACAGACTTCACCAAATCGTGATTACTGGTCAGCTAACTCTGATGGGGGTGGCTTTCAGGTTACCTTTAACCTGTCTGGCTACATCTACCTAGAAGCTGAAAATGGAAGCTTACTCCGCTATATAACATTAAATAAATCTTCAACTAGTGACTTCTACCAGCGAGCAATCCTTGAATATGATGGTGTCTTCAGGCAATACGTGTATCCAAGGAACGATAGTGTCGCCGATGGATGGCCTATGGCCTGGTCGTTGTCATCTTCTGTCCCAGAAAATATTTGCCAGAGTATCGCAGACGTGAACCAAGTCGAAGGTAGTGGGGCTTGCGGGTTCAACAGCTACTGTATTCAAGGAGATGATAAGAGGCCTAGATGCGAGTGCCCCCCTGGATACACATTCTTGGATCCAGATAATGAAATGAATGGATGCAAACAGGAGTTTGTCCCACAAGAGTGTAACAGAGGCCAAGATGCAGATCATTTTGAAATGAGGGGGCAGTCCGGCGTAAATTGGTGGGGAGGGGATTATGAACATTATAATGACATTGATGAGGATTGGTGTAGACAGGTATGCTTAACAGATTGCTTTTGTGCCATTGCAATCTTTAATGGAGGCCGTCAATGTTGGTTGAAGAGAATTCCTTTCTCAAATGGGCTGAGAGTTGATTCTGGAACTAAAGCACTGGTCAAAATACGGAAAGACAATTCCACAACATCAATTTGCAAGGAGGAAGGCTGTTCTGCACCACCATTTGCTGCTAAGGGTTCAGAGAAACATAAGTCAACACTGATTCTTATTCTAACTATGCTCTTTAGTGGCTCAGCATTTTTGAACCTTGTTCTGTTGATTGCTACTTTTTGGGCTGTTCAAAGGATAAGAAGGGTGATAAAGCCCCCCCGAGAAATCCAAGGCATAAATTTGCGAAGCTTCACTTACAAGGAACTTGAAGGAGCTACAAATAATTTCAAAGAAGAACTTGGAAGGGGTGCTTGCTCAACAGTTTACAAAGGAATTCTTGCTATTGGTAACAATAGTTTGATTGCCGTTAAAAGATTGGACAAGATGGTAACAGACAGTGAGCAAGAATTTCAAGCAGAAATGAGTGCAATTGGCAAGACAAATCACAAGAATCTTATGCAGCTTCTAGGATTTTGCAATGAGGGACAACATCGACTTTTGGTGTATGAATACATGAGCAATGGATCTTTAGCATCTTACCTCTTCGGAAATTCAAGGCCCAGTTGGTATAGAAGAACTCAAATTGCTTTTGGAACAGCAAGAGGGCTTGTTTATTTGCATGAAGAGTGCAGCAAACAGATCATACACTGTGACATCAAGCCTCCAAATATCCTTCTAGATGACTCTTTGACAGCAAGAATTTCAGACTTTGGATTGGCAAAACTTTTAAAGACAGACCAGACACGAACAGTTACTGCAATTAGGGGAACAAAAGGATATGTTGCTCCAGAATGGTTCAAAAGCATGCCTATCACAGTCAAAGTCGATGTTTACAGCTTTGGAATTTTGCTGCTAGAGCTCATTTGTTGCAGGAAGAATTTTGACCAAGATGCAAGGAATGAAAATCAAATGATATTGGCTGATTGGGCATACGATTGCTATGAAGAAGGGAGAGTGTATCTGCTAGTGCAGGAGGATGAAGAGGCAATTCAAGATATGAAGAGGGTAGAAAAGTTTGTGATGATTGCCATTTGGTGCATTCAAGATGATCCATTGCTAAGACCCACCATGAAGAGAGTCTCACAGATGCTGGAAGGAGCTATTGAAGTTGCTCCTCCTCCAAAATCTCCCAATTGGTCAGTTCAATACTCATCTTCAACCGCCTCGTAATCTATTGAAAAAGAAGATTTATTAGTCAGTATTATAGAATAAATTTCGTAGGGTGATATCTAGCTACTGTGTGCTCATGAATATAAAGACGTTTTGCAAGATAACGTCTTATGCAAATTTATTAATAAATAAATAACCATCCTTTCTTCCAAGTAAATTTTGTACTAGTTAAAAAAGAGGGTCTTCTTCATAAGATATCCTAAAGTTGTTGTAATTTTTAATTTTTGATCTATTTCAAGCAAAATTTGAATGAGATTTCTAAAGATAGCATATTCCTATTTCAAAGCCTTAAAACTTGCAAGATTCCTCTCATAGATAGCAAACTTTAGAGAACTAACTTTGGTTTGCTCTGAAAGCACATGTTAATAGTATATTTATTATTTTTTTATTAATTAAAAAATAAAAATTAATATTAATTTTAACAATTGTTGAATTAAATTCATATAAGTAGAAATGATACTAAAATTAATATTAATTTTTATATTTTTTTATGTAATTGAAACAAAAAAATAATAAGTACAGCATCAATCTCTACCTATTTGTACAAATTAGAAAAGAAAATGTTATAATTACAATTTTACTTGGTACTATAAGTTTATAATATAATTTATCATTTTATAATTAAGTCTTTTCATTTAGAAATTCATTTATAATATTACATATATTCACTAATTTAATATCACGTTATTCACATTTAATTTTACATGATAACAATAAACTTATAATTTCATGTAATATTGTAACAGTAGGATTATGTACTTAAAAAAGCCCATCATTAATGCAAAGCCATAAAGTATTTACAACAGAAGGAATCCATGGCCAAGTTGGTACAGAAGAACTAAAATTGCTTTTGGAACTGCAAGAGGGCTTGCTTATTTGCATGAAAAGTGCAGCAGCCGGATCATACATTGTGACATCCAGCCTCAAAATATCCTACTTGATGGTTCCTTGACAGCAAGAATCTCAGACTTTGGATTAGCAAAACTTCTGAAGATAGGCCAGACACGAACTTTTACAGAAGTCAAGGGAACAAGAGGATATGTTGCACCTGAATGGTTGATTGGAAACAAGCCTGTCACAGTCAAGGTCAACATCTACAGCTTTGGAATTTTGCTACTAGAGCTCATTTGTTGGAGGACAGTTGAGCAAGATTTAGAGGATGAAAAACAAAAGGTATTGGCTGATTGGGCATATAATTGCTATGAAGAGGGGAAACTGTATCTTCTAGTTCAGGAGGATGAAGAGGCAATGGAGGACATTAACAGGGTAGAGAAGTTTGTAATGATTGCCATTTGGTGCATTCAAGATCACCCATCTCTGAGAACCCCTATGAAGAGAGTCTCACAGATGCTAGAAGGAACCATTGAAGTTCCTTATCCTCAAGTCAATCGCTATTCATCAGTTTAATTTAAACCTACCAAAGCCCCAAGATCAGTTAATAGAGGAGTGTGATCAATATTGTTGGTTCTTCGGATTCATGGGGTGATCTCTGTTGATCTTGTGAAGCTTTCTTCTAGATATTCCTAGTTACATGTTAGGTGAAGAAATGTGTTAGGGCTGTGTTTCACCTAAATTATTGAACTCGTGTATGTTTTATGAAAGGAAAGTCACAAGTATTAACATTGCAGAAATCTGGCACGAAAGCAAGCAAGGAAAGTGGGCAAAAATCAGGCAAGAAAGCAAACAAGGAAACTATGAATGCTGAAATCATTATTACAGAAATCAAGCAAACCAGTAATCAAGCTAAGAGCACAGATCAAGGAGAAACAAAGGCAACGGTCCAGTAACCTTATATTCCATGATTTTAGGCTAAACTATACGATCTGAAATTTGTATCAGTACATATATATTACTATAACTAATGTACTAAAATTGTCTTGATTAAATACAACCAATATTCTTTTGTTCTTTGGTTCCTTGAAATTCTTCATGTTTATGTTTGACTGCATTATTCAATAAAGATTACACCACTCACCACAACCAATTTAGAAAAATTAAGATAAGTAATGCTCTTATTAGACACATGCAGAATTATTGATATATAGATACAGTTTTTAATAAGGTTTTGTAACATATTGCGATTTTAATCACAAGCAAAATCACAATTTGAAAAACTATTTCCAATTTCAGAAAAATAAAAAGATACATGATGGACAAAGGTTGAAGGACAGAGCAATACCTTCAAAATTCAATTGCACCAAGACCTCCTAAGATTTCATAATTAACTACTTCAACATCCAATTGAGACCGACCCACGGCAATTTCAGAAACTTCATCAGAAATGGAGGCTCCGACGAAAAAAGGCTGACCTGCAGAAGAAGAACGAAGTGAAAGAAGGACAAAGTCACGATTCAGACTTCGATTCAAACAGAGACCGAAGAACAGCGGGACAGAGAATGGATGTAGACGAGTGAAGAAGAAACATGTGATCGAAAACACCTTTTTTTTTTTCTTTTTTTCTTTTCTTTTTTTTGTCTTTTTTGGGCCTTTGAAATTGAGATTGAACTGATTGGAGAATGGAAGTGTGTTAGGGCCTTATGGGCTTTCTTATTTGCTTAATTCAACAAATCATTTACTAAATGTTGATTTTTTTATTTATTTTAATTTAAAATTATTTTTTTTTTACTAAAAAATGTTTATTAATTTTTTAAATTATAGTAATTTCATCTACCTTATATAATTTCATTAGTAAGATTGACAAAATCCCATATCAGCGCTTATGTAAGCAACGCATGACCTAAATAATTTTGTTTTTGTTATTTTGATTGGGTTTGGGTGGGGTTATTGCCACAGCCACTAATGTTAATGCCACAGCTTTTTTCAGTTATTTGACCATTAACCCACGCGGAGAAGGTGGTGACTGCTACAAGTTGGATTCAAATGAGGGGTATAATAGTCAAATAACTAAAAAAAGCTGTGGCATTAACATTAGTGGCTGTGGCAATAACCCCACCCATTGGGTTTTGTTTTGATTAAATTTTCCTATAATTTAATTATTTGTAGTCAACAATGTTAGGGAAACAAAGAGGCAAAGATTGTGTTGTTTACATGGCATCTTCCCTTGCACTACATAAGCGATGACCTGAATTTTTGTTAACCTACCTAATAAAATTGTGTTAAATAAACGAAATGGATATAATTTCAAAAATTAATGGACAATTTAAAAAAATTCTAGACTAAATCAAAATATGTCAATAATTAATAAAGAATTTATTAAATTAAGCTATTTCTTTTAAAGGCTGAGTTTAAGTCCTTACAAAGTCAAATCTAAGCTTTCCAAGTCTTCTAATTAAGATTAATTACCTTAATTAGGAATTTTGCCGACTTGGCCTACAAAATGATTTGAAATTTTTTTTTTTTAAAACTGAATAACCAACCCTTATTATAAGTTTAGTTTAAGAAGAACAGAGGAGAAAAAAAGAAGGAAAGATTTTTTTTATTAATTAAATTACATCACTTTTAAATATTATAATTTAATAGATTAAAAAAAAAATTTATCCTCTCCTCAAACTAAACTTAAATTATATCCTTTTTAAATATTATAATTTAAATTTGTATGTTTATCTTTGTTAACTCTGTTACTTGTTCTATCTCTGGCTAGTGTCGTGTATGATCATGAATCAGGTTGACTACATTACTCAATCAAGTCAAGAAAACACACATTTAATGACCAAATAGACAAATTGGAATAACTAATCCACTTATTAGCCGTATGCAGAATTCTTGATACGTAGTTTTTAGTAAGGTTTTGTAAAGAGTATTCCTTGGGCTGTTTTCACAAAATCAAGAAAATCCACAGAAACATTACAATTTCAATCAATGCGTAACCAGAATTGAACAATTTCCTATTTCAGAAACTGAGTTCCATGTGAAAGAGGTACATGATGATGAAGAGAAGATGAAAGACAGAGCAACTCCTTCAAAATATAATTAAGTCAGATCCCGCGAAAATTTCAGAAACTTCAACGGAAATGGAGGCTCCGACGAGAAAGCGCTGAACAGAGAAAGAAAACGAAGTGAAAGAAGGACAGAGTCATGTTTGAAACAGAGGGTGAAGAACGGAGTAAGAATGAAAAAGAAAGATGGCTTGAAGGAAGATTGTGTATTTGCGTTAATGTGTTAGGGCTTTGTTTTTAGGCCGAATTTTGACTCTTTTTTTTTCAATTTTGGGAGGCCCATAGGCCGTCGGGCCGAGTGTTAAGTCTTTGGGTCAACCCAGATCTTATGGTCATTCTCATTCGATTTCAGTCTTTTTTTTTTTTTTTCAAACATTAGAGCCGACATTGAAACTTGAAAGAAAACAAACAGGGAAATAAAAATAAAATAGAGGAGGAGAATAATTTAAAGAAATAGTGTCTATCAACTTTATTTTTTAAAGATTAAGAATAAAATCATCTCAAAATTATATTATTTTAATAAATTTTTATTGAAAAAGACTAAACTACCTTATTTTTAAAGCATGCATTAAGGTAATTTTTTTTTCTCTTAATTTTCTGAAAGTAAGACAGATAAACACTAAGCTCATAATTTAATTATATAAGAATTATGTTTTAAAGTATGAAATGCACTGAAACTAAAAAATAACAACTATTAAATTATGGAAGGATTTCAAATATTAGAGCACTTAATATTTTTTAATAATTAATATAGTATAATGTAGTATGTTTTAAATTGTGTTACATTTTTTTGAATTATATATATAAGTTCATTGTTTTATAATTTATACTGTTTTAAATTATAAAACAGAAATTTTAAATTGAGAAAGAATTTCAATATTAAGGAGTCATCTCCTATCTAAAAATCAATATTTTAAAATTCAAATTATAAAATATTTTTTCAAATATACATTTCACAATTTCATAATATTTTTTTACCCCCACCGAAACTACTTATGCAGATTCAAGCTTATCCACACACCCATGGCTAGCTCAACTTATTTATAATATTGTCTCAATTACTAAATTACTTGATCGACCTTAAAATTAATATACTCAATAGTCAGATGCCATTTCCTTTTATAATATTCTTATTTATAATATTCTTATTTACTAAATGACTAGCTCAACTTATTTATAATATTCTTCCTTCTTCGGCCATTTCCTTTTAGGCTGTGTGTTGTTAAGTCTTCAAAAAATCAAATCTGAGCCATTTGGGTCAAACCCAATAACTTCAAAAACTGGGCCATAGCCCGAGAGAGTTCGCCGAAGCTTGGCGCTTGCAGTTAGAAAGTCCATATTCCAGCTTGGGACTAGAGTGAGCATTAGTTATAAGTACATTAATATAAGTACAGCTGTTTACTTGTTTTACTTGTAAATATAATGGTACTTGTAGCTTATAAATCCCTGAAATCAAGAGTAATAAATTGCTTTTTTTAATTAATATGCACAGACCTAAAACGTCAAAATATTGCGGAACAGAGGGGGTATTATCATGGCAAAAATATGACATAAGGACCCGAACTTACACCAAATTCGCAATTTCGGACCCAAACTTTGATTGCGCTCAATGAAGGTCCCGAACTCCACCAAATTCTCAAATAAGGACCCAATTGGACGGAAAATTAACTTCCGTTTAAATCTCCTATTATTCCGTTAATGTTCCGTCACACTTCACACCCGCACTGAAAAAAATTGATTAAATTCTAATTTTGGTCCCTCAACTTCATTAAATTGCACTTTTTTGTCCCTTAACTTCATTTAAATTTCACTTTTTGTCCCTTAATTTGATTAAATTGCACTTTCTTATCCTTCAGTTTTATTAAGTTATACTTTTTTGGTCTTTAAACTATTTTTTGCACTTTTTTGGTCCTTAAATTATTTTTTGCACTTTTTTTATTCTTTAACTTTAACAACTGCACAATTTTGATACTTTCGTCAGTTTAAACCGTTAACTTCATTCATGTGATATTTTTTATATTTTTTTGATGACATGTATAATCTAATTGGAAAAAAATAATAACATAAATCATCTAACTAGAAATAATGATGACATGGATAAATAAAATAATATGTAGATAAATTTTTATATTTTTAATAAAAATAAAAAAACCTCTCCACCTATTTTCTTCCCCCGCTAGAAGAAAGAAAAAGAAAGAGGGGGAAGAAAATAGGGAGAGAGGTTTTTATATTTTTTTATAAAAAATATAAATATTTATTTACATGTTATTTTATTTATTTATGTTATCATTTTTTTCTAGTTAGATTATATATGTCATCAAAAAAATATAAAAAATACCAAGTGGGTGGAGTTAATGGCTTAAACTGATGAAAGTATCAAAATTGTGCAATTATTAAAGTTAAGAGATTAAAAAAGTGTAAAAAATAATTTAAGGACCAAAAAAGTACAAAAAATAATTTATGAACCAAAAAAGTACAAAAAATAATTTATGAACCAAAAAAGTACAAAAAATAAAGTTGAGGGATAAAAAAGTGAAATTTATGAAGTTGAGGGACAAAAAAGTGAAACATAATGAAGTTGAGGGATCAAAATTAGCATTTAACCAATTTTTTTCAAGTGGCAGGTGTGAAATGTGACGGAACATTAACGGAATAATAGGAGATTTAACGGAAGTTAGTTTTCCGTCCAATTGGGTCCTTATTTGAGAATTTCGTGGAGTTCGGGACCTTCATTGAGCACAATTGAAGTTTGGGTCCGAAATTGCGAATTTGGTGTAAGTTTGGGTCCTTATGTCATATTTTTGCCTATTATCATCATCAACACACAATGGGCGAAAATTCACGCAAGGCTGCGGTTCTTTCTAAGTCTTCTAAAGTTACTAATTTGCCTTGTGAGACGGGCTTGCCGTTCAAATCACTGCATTTTCATTCTCTATTATTAATGGCCAGATAATAACGTTGTTATCATATCATATAATCAACATTTAAAATCTCCAAGTTCCACCATTTGTGGAATCCAGGCTTGAACAACCCATTTTTCCATACAATCCCTGCCAGTGGTGCCTGATCCAACCAAAAAACAAATTCCCTGCCAATGGTGTAGCTAGAAATATTTTTTAGAGGGGGAAAATGAAATTTTGAAAAAAAAATACATCTTTACATTAATTAAAAAGTCAATAAAAAGAAAATTTTAATAAAAATTTATTTTAAACTAAAATTTGTTAATCTTTTAATAGTAAACTAATATTAATTGATGATAAGGTATTATACACAACATCAATTGAAAGATAAAATAAACATGTATTAAATAGAATAACACTAATAAATGAAAAAACAAAGGTAGAAAGGTATTAATAAAAAAAGTATTAATAAATAACTATTTTATAAAAATATGATATTAAACAATTTTGTATTCAATAAATCTTTATTTTTTATTATATTATATCTTATCTTGATTTTCCTCATTTTTCTGATAATCACCAAAACTAATCTTTGAAAAATAAGGTTAAAAAATAATTAAAATGTATGAAATACACAAGGATTGAAATAATAAAAATATAACTTAAAGGACCAAAGTTTTATTTCTTAAACGTTTAGGGGGGGCCTGTGCCCTCTCAGGCCTCTCTTTATCTCCGCCAGTGAACCCTGAGGTTCTAATATCATGGTTGAAAAAGGTCCACGTTTCAGCTTGGGATCAACAGTCATGTTTGATTCACGCAATATCTCTCGTTGTAACATGTTATTTTCTGAAGGTTTAGCAAGTTTTTCATAAGGACTGATATGAAATTCTTGATTTTACGGAGGCTATAGCCTTTTCCAAGTCTACTAAAATCAGTTACCTTACAAATGACATTTCGTTTCTAACTTGATATCATGAATAGTCATAATCACCCCTTATAAATTCATTAATTAATTTAAAAATATTAATTTATTAATTAATTTTAATTTTTTAATTAATAAATATTAACTCTTTAATTAATTATTTAATAATTATATTTAATAAATTAAATTAAATTAAAATTTTAAAATAATATTTTATAATTTTAATAACCCTGAAATTTTTATATGTAACGTATCGGTGCCCGTTCTCTAGATGCCATCTCTTTCGTTTTACCGCGGCATGCTTTTTAATTCGCAAAAATTTATCCCCGGCAATAATTGACCTATGTTTCTCACTCCAACTTTGTATCTATATCTGTCCCCACACCACACACTGCTTTTTGATTTTTCTTTGGGTCATTATGCTACTTTTTTTTTTTTTTTCCTTAAACAATGTACAATTTGGGGATGGGAGAATCGAGTTTTCAAGATGGTAGTGGAACTCGAAATTTCAATCATCTCACTCAAATATTTTAAGGTTTGGAGTTAATCATTAAGTCTGAAGGGCTGATTCAGGCCATTATGGTACCTTTTACAAAAGGCTGAATGAAGTCGTACTCCACTAGGTGCCCAATGGATGGGTGCCCAATGGGTGGGTTACGTAGTAGGTAGAGTTCATCCATTTCTTTGGTTTGATGTTGACTTGGGTAGATATTGACTTTTTAATTTATATTTTCTTTGTAGAAAAAAAAAAAAAGAAAAGAAAAGGAAAAAGAGGAAGGTTCTATCACAACGTGGTTGTAGGTTCGTTTCTCACATACGGTACTAGTGTAATTACATCAAATTAGAAGTTTTTTTTTTCAATTTGTGTCTTTTTTTTGTCATTCGACTATATTTATATTCTATTATTTTGGTTATTTGATCACACCGATACTCTACTCTTTTCGGTCATTCAATCATATTCATACTTTACTTTTTCGGTCATTCTTCACTTCGGATAAACCTACAAAGCCCCGAGGTAGATCCTCGTGATAGACACTCTGATACTTAAGTCAACAATAATTGGATCTACCTTTACAATAATGGAAAAAAGAGCTTTTGGTAAATTTCAATTACCTTTTTGAGGTGGCCTTTGAGGGTATTTATAAGTTCTAGTTAGGTGTCCACGTAACTTGCTTAATAAGATAATCGAAGTCTTACGTGTCCCTTTAGGCGATAATTTTGGAACCGTGAAATCATGTGTGGGAAATCAGGTGTGGGGATGTTCACTGTACATATCATGCAACCATTTGGTTGGAAAATGCTGAATTTAACTTCACTTCGATTGTTAAGAAACTATAGCAGTACGTCCGAAGTTAATAACTTCGGACCTATCCTTACAATCGAGGGCTATATTTCCATTGTGAGAAAGAGGTGTCATGACAAGTCATGTCAAATTGTCAAATGCCGTGTAGTAATCCCTCCTGTGGTCCAATGGTGACCACACTATTTATTGAGTAGCAGATAGATTGCACTTAATTTCAAGGTTTGGTCATTTTTAACAACGATAGATACTAACACCTAATTTAATTATTTTTTCCTATAAAAAAAAAATTTGTCGAATACCGTGTAAGAGGAAATTAGGAAGAGAAATTACACGGAAAAAAGAAGGGAATCCGAGGCAGAGAAAAATCTCAGAACAAAGAAATATAAAGCTGGTAACGCGTAAAGAGTTGACGAATCACCAACTCAAACGGGCTGTGATTTAATTAAATTACTAATTTATAAATTGAGTTTATTAATAAGAATCAAAATATAAGATTGTTCGCCTTATGTGAATGATCTCGTGAAAACTTTTTTTTTTCTTCTATTAATACCTATAAATAATTTTAAATTATTCAAAAATAAAATAAAAATGAAAGCATATAATCGAATGATTCACTTCGATTTAGTGGCGATTTAGTGGTATAGACCCTAAATTAAGATCATTTACCTCTTATAGATGATATGCTCGAATTTCACATAATCTCTTTTTTCCTCTCCTAATTAACACATGTGAATAATTACAAAATATATATATAATCAATTTTAATGATATATTAAATTATTATTAACAGGTTATACTTCTTGTGAAACCCACTTGATCTTTTTTCTTTGTTTTCTTTATTATCAATTACTTTTAATAATAAAATTAAATAAAATTATTATTCCATGAATTTCATACATATAAAATTATTGTTGAATTATAATAATTTTATTATAAAATTATTGTTGAATTATATATATATATAAGTCTGAATGAAACACATGGCATCAGAGGACAAGCCTCCGAAGTTGATATCGAACCTATATTCATGGTGCCCCTGCAAGTAAAGGTGTGTATAAAACAAGTCAATTAATTTTAAATAAAATATAAATTTTGCATTTTAATTTCTTTTCTCTTGAATGTACATATAATACAAATTGACATCAAGAAAGCCTTGAATTTACATATAATACAAGATATACAGTTAATTAGTAAAAATTTTAACACACACATATATATGTATATGTATATATATATATCATACATATTATATATTTAATTATATATACCTTTGAGTCAGCAGTTCGAGCATCTCCAACTGCCCCAAAATCCAGGACGTTGAAGAGTTGGCCTTTAGCTTGGCTAAAGGTGCCAAGAAGGAAGGCGAGAGTAATGAAGAATCGAATCTGTACAGATAAACATATACAACAACAAAAATCAATCAATTAAGACAGTCAAAGTACAGCCCTATAGCCAAGAAGACTATATTTCATCAATTAACAAAAATTTAAGACAAGGAATACTGTCTGAACCAATTAAGTTGAGAAGGTGTTGAATCAAATCCATGGACCAGAAAGAAGAAACTTAGAAAGAAGAACATCGCTAATTGTAAGCGAAAGTAAAGAAGAGAGCTATACCATTTTGAAGAATGAACAGTTAGCTATTGTGCAGTACGTCGTCGTAGTGTCTTATCTTGCAATGGATACATGGATGTGGGTAAGAACTGTGTTTTTTTTTTTTTAATTATAAATTTAGGAATAATATTTTTATTTATTTATAATATTTTTTAAAATATAAAA